TATTCTATTCTATTCTATTCTATTCTATTCTATTCTATTCTATTCTATTCTATTCTATTTACATCTTATCATCACATATGCTAAAGAATATTCCAGTTATTTAAGGCAGTATTTAGCAAAGATTCATGCTGGGATTTATGTCCTAAATGGGAGAATGGGACAGTTGAGAGCTCACCAGTGACAGGAGGAACTGCACTACATGTCTCCACATAGGTTATAATTGAAATATGTGCACTGTATGCCAAGGACGTTTGAGAGACACATCACAGCCTATAGTTTGGTTAAGCTATGGTTGGTTGAGCACTGCACAACTGTAACACAGGAAAGAGCCTAAGCACACAGTTGATTTATGACTTGTGAAGGAGCAAAAATTCTGGTCTTGCTAACACTGGTAGTAAAAGCCAACCAAATTAGTAATAAATCACTACTTATAACTCCTTATAAATCATATGCCTCACCCAGTGGCTACTTGGCATGAGGTTGTCTTTAACACAGATTTTTGGACCTTGCAAATGCTTCTGATTCAGACTGTTTGTAGCAAAGGGACCTTGCAATAATGTCAATATTCATACTAATCTAGAAACTATTCTACATAGTGATATGACCTTATTAGAAGAAATCTAGGTAAGATATCAGTTCAAAGCCCCACATAATGGGACTAAAATAGTTTCCTCACTCTTAATTGTGTCTAGCTGTTAACACAACTCTTTTGAAAAAATTTTGTTCTATTCATGCATAACTTGTAGGCTAAACTAAACCAAATTTTGTCTACAGTTTAAGGAGTGTAGGACCGGTGGCCCCAAGAGCCATTCTTTTCACTTTCCTTAGACATCCATTCCAGCATGGAATAAAATGCCTCTGAAATGCCTAATTCTTGTTCCCAATCAGAATAGTTCAGATGATTAGCTTACACTAGTCACCTGTGAATGTCTTCCCAACCTTTATTGGCAGATTTTTGAGAATTGCTGCTTTTTTTTTTATTGCAGATGACAACTTGTATGACAGAGAGAAAATTTAGAACTAGAACCTATGAAAGAAGTGAGCAGACTCCAGGTAACCAAATACTGTCAGCCAACATGAACAATACAAATAGTATTGTGACAGGATAGTCTTACATTACCCTAAATTCTCCCACTTTGAAATCATCTATTTCACTTAAAGAATATGAATATCTCTGGTAATCATGTTAGGATCACATGATTTCTGGAGCTCCCTGCTGTCACCTACTGTGTAAACAAAAAGAGATGAGATCAACTACTTCATGAGAAAAAAATATTAATCAACCCAGTTACTATAAGAGGGGAGTAAGATGGATATCTGAATAGAAGGGAAAACATGAGAAAATACATAATGTATACATAGAAAAATTCCTACAGCTGGGTGCAATGGTGCTCATGGGAAATACTTTTCATATGGCAACCCTCCTCTCCCTTACGCTAGAGGTACAATTAAAACCTTGTCATTGAGCAGCTTAATCTTCTCTAAAAATGGCAACATCTTAGAAAACTCTTCAGCAACAGAAAGCTTATTCAAGCTTACTAGCATCCGCTACTGTTATATGTAGCAGGTCATTTGATCTCCTGAATAGTATGTTTAAATATAATTTATTTAAAGTTAAGCCATATTTTTTATTATTTATTTCATCATAGTGATTAACTGTCTTGTCTCTAGCACATCTTCTTTTCACTGAGAAGGAACAAGGAGGTTTTAAAGATGACCTTTCTTTAGTAATTCTTGATAATCAAGTGATTCACACAGAGCACCTGGCCTTGGGAATCTATGCAGCCTGTAGTGTCACAAAAGTAATGCAGGCTCCCTTCCTCTTTTGCTCTTTGCTAGTCAGACCCCAAGTAACAGCAGATAGGTCAGCCTAGCAATCTTGTGTGTCCTTTGATCTAAAGTCACTTCTTTATGCCTTTACACACCACCACCACAGCCTTTGTGCTCTCCTGTCAGCCACCTGGTAGGTACCATAGAGGTCAGTGTGGCAAGGGGTGCTGTGGAGACAGAAAGAAGCAGAGCTGTTTCAAGGCAGCTGCTGATTGGCCAGCAGGACCACCTGGAAATAATTTTCTCTAGCATACAGTGCCATCCTGTCTCATGCATTGGAAAAAAATATACTTGAGAAATATGTACCTGTATTTGTGCTTGGCTCTTACCAGCAGCATGGCTTTTAGAAGCATAAAACACAGCCAAACGTATAAAAAAACCCTGTGTGTGGAAGTCGTGCTGAGCAGTGTGCAGCTGTGACTGTACTGCTGCTAGCACTGGGATCAACTGATTAGTGTCACACCAACTGCAGCCACGCACAAACTTACTTACCACCTGGTCCCCAGATATGCCTGGTACGAATGTCCTGTGCTACAGCTCATCTTGCGTGAGGGAATGTTATAACTAATCGGCTCCGCACACCAGCTTGTGTCCTAGGACGTGGTTTGTGTGTGTATGTGGTGCACAGATATATGCAGGAAATCCTAGAATAAACCATGGTTTATAATGACTAACCTTTTAAAAATCTGGAGACATCCTGAAGTTGAGGTATGTTATCTTCTTGGTAGCCACAGTACCTCTCCAGCAGCTGGAAAGCATCCAGGTACTGTGTACAGGCGTGAGTAGGGTAAAGGCTTCTCAGCTTCCTGTAGACTTGTCTCCTGAAAAGCAAAAACTGTGTAGCATGACCCACCTTAATAAAGCAGTATTATCTGTCCTGTCTACAGATCTAGAGAGGTGCAAAACCCCAGTACAGGTCACGGTCTAAAAATCTGCACTTGGGACACCTGGTGCTTGGAAGCTGATGAGTGGGTAAATGCAGCAAACCAGAAGGAATTTTTGTTTCATTTTTCCTTCAGAAAACGGGTTCTGTTCAGAAAATCCTTTTTATGTCTTCCTACACCCTCCTTTAATGTAACAGAACTCTAATTCCGAGACAGAAGTGTTTCTTACTTCTTGCTCAGTGTGTTGGAGGTACCAGGGAAATCCCAGGGAGAGAGCTGAGCCTGTGATACTTTGTTTTTCAGTTTAGAAATGGAATGAATCACATATTCCCTCCCTCTCTGCCTTGGGGTACAACTTGAAATGCTGGTCCCTCTTTCTCCATGCATAGGCCTAGCCTATATTTGTCACTTGCAAACCTCCTCCTTAAAAAGCACATCATCTGGACAGGCAAAGAGATTCATACTTTTGCAGTTCAAAATGCCTGGCACAGGCTATGTATTTCAAAGATATACAAGTTTCTTGAAGCATTTAGCCCATTATACAAAAAGAGACCAGCTGAAGAAAAATATATGTAACCAGATTTGCTCACGGGCTTTAAGTTTGTCCCAAACTTGATGGTGTTCGAATTTAGAGCTGTGGTTTGGAATATATTTAGATCTTGCAAAATAAACAAGTAGTAATAGGATGGCAAAGAACCTTATAGAAATGGTTATTTTTGTTCACACATGGCCCTAGGGTGTTAGCAACTTTATAAACATTGTTTTATGAAAACTGAGATCATTCTTGGAAATACTGGCTACGGGAAATGACCTTTTGTTGTTTTTATGTTGTTGGGGGGGGGGGTTGTGATGCTATTGTTGCTATGGAGGTGATAGTCAGTCCCTGGTAATGGTTCTCTTAATTTGTGTGAATGTCTTACATGGTGTGGGAGTAATGAACCAGCAGTAAGGGGGGGAGGAAAACCCCCTTAATTTAAAAGAACAGAGGGGAACAGTGGCTGCTGTCACTATTGCAAAAACCACGGAAGACTGGGTCATTTCCATGGAAGAATTAGGAAAAAATGAAGACTAAAGTTCAAGTGTTATCCTGGCTTATTTCCTCACAGAATACTACTGGCTTCAGTGGGATTTGAACCAGTACACAGTTCATACCCAGACTGGAGTCTAGAGAGAGCAGCCTTGTTTACACTTCTGCACATATGGTCCCCTTTATCAAAGTGTCATTCTACTGTGTGTCCAAACATTGACTACCACAGAAATGTAGGCAGTCTCAGAGAATAGTGATGAATTATCCAAAGCTAAATGTTCCTCCTCTCTAAGTACCTCTAAGGCAATCATCTAAGTACGTTTCAAAGTCAAGAGAGTAGCAGATATTTCCAGACAATGACTTAGCTTGCCCCAATGTAGTGTCTCAAATAATTGTAATGCCTACTGTAAGGAGGTGCTCTCACTCAAAGGACCACTAAGCTGCTACTTGATGGTAATTCAGTTCAGAGATGGAAAGAGGAACTGCTGAAAGCACAGTCTATGAAGTACTCTAGAAAGGAGCCTCATAATTAAGCATGAAGCCAGCCACTGGAAAGACTTTGACGGCAATAACCTATTTAACATAAATTTTATTGCTCTTTTAGGAAAAAAGTGGCACTGTTCAGCTTTATTATGAAGATGTGACAGGTGCATCCCCATAGTTTTGTCATGAATTCTCCATTTTTCTTACACAGCTGTTACCCATAAGATGTCTTCTATGACTACTTAGTTTCAAGACCTTCCAAGAAGTTGCTTTGAAAACAAAAACTCAGATCCTCTGCACCCTCTGTTTTCTGAAAGTCGTATTTCTTCACTGAATTAGTTTTCATTTTATAACCATGTTGCTACAAACTGAAGGCATCCAACAACTCTGAAGAGTGACACCAAGGGAATTTAGTCTGTGGTACAAATTTCCTGTTCAATTGCATAGTGCTCAATTAAGTTGTGCTGTAATGCAGCCTGACCTCAGGGCACAGCCTCAGGGGGCTGTGAGAACAACTGGGAACTCTAATTTTGGAAACAGTTTTACATAACAAAACAACCTGGGTTGCTGAGGCTGGCTGTATGGGGAAATGGGCAGATACTCCTTTGAAGGTCTATTTAGTTACCACAATGGGTCTAATTCTAGGTGGAGAAGAGCTGGAATGACGGAGGTTGGCAAAAAAGGACAAAAACAGGAAAGAACACAAAATTAAATTTTCTTAAAAATGACATTCACACACACCATTCCATGCCAAGGTTGTTGGCTAGTGGTAGCAATCATGAACATGACACCGACCATCAATCTTTGACTATTGAAAGATGCTATAAAAAGCTATTTGAGCTTAATAAAAATGTGACCTCCTGGATGAATTGGATACAAGGTTTATATGCGGTTGTGGATTTCTATGGCACAGTAGATTTTATTTAAAATAAAGTAAGCATTGAAAAAGATGGAATGGAAGCGTGGTTGAGGTTCTGGCAAGAGACATCTAGTCTATGGATTTAATTTCTGGCATTGAAATAAACTTTGTATATAATTTTGGGCAAATCACTTAAGCTCTAGTGTTTTCAGTTACACATTTATAAAATGTAGTCTTCATTCTTCCTTTTCCCCACCTTTAGGCTGTCTTTCCATTTAAATTGTAAACTTTTCTGAACAAAGACTCTCTCTTATTATGTGCACATGTGGCACCTTGCACAATCCCAGGACGCTGCTTTTAATTGAGACATTTGGACATATTTATGCTTTGTAGTATCATACAAATGTGTAATTATTACTGCTTACTGAGATTTGTTAGTTAGTGGGAGAAAGAGGAAACAGAGGGATGTGAAATAAGGACTCTGCTTTCTTTCAAATCTGCCACATACTTCACATAATATTTACAAATATACTTTGAATTGGTTGAATTTTGTTTAGTTCTCTGGTAGATATTTGGGGTCTTTTTTTTTTTTGAGTGGTGAATATTCAGGAGAAACAAAGCCCCAGTAAAGAAATGCTGCACCCTTGTAAAAAACTTGCCATCATTTCATATGGTATCAAAGGCCCTTTTACAGTGCAAATGAAGTATTCTGGAAGGGTACTTCAGAATTTACCTTCATTTTGAGAGAATTATATATTCAGGTTGACAGGAATGAATACTTGAAGGCTAATAAGCAAAGCTCTTCTGTCCTGTGAATATTGAATTAGCCACATCCTGTGAGTAAACTTCCATACTGCTAGTGGGCATTTTTTTCTGGTAACAGGCTTAGAAAGGTGATATTTCTGTAAGCATCATAGCTGTGGTAGATTCGAGTTAGAATCGAGTTAGAACTTCAGTTAGAAGTTACGCTATAAGCTCCAGGTGTTTTCTAGGTTCTGATATCTTGATTGGATCAGCAGGTTGGGAGAAGGTCAGGAAAATGCATTTTGCTCTAGAAAGTGAATAATTAAGACCAGCCCCGAGAAGGGCTTTCTGTGAAACAAATGACCAGAAGATGACTTTCAACCAAGGAGTAAAATTTGAGATGGATAAATACAGTCTTAAGGTGTTATAACTGTCTCACATTGCGTGTCCTTCCTGGGACTGCGTTGGAATGGTCCAGGAGTTGGACCCTAAGTACCAAACTCACCAAGTTGCAGTCTCCTGCGCTGTGTACTCGATGAGAGGCAAAGGGTCTCCCCTGTAATGAAGAGAAGAAATAAGACGTGTCTAACAAAGGTCAGTTTCTGGGTATAATTGATATATGGATATTTGTTGTAATGAAGACAGAAACAGCAAAATAGTAAATAATTAACAAACTTATTTGTCTTGGTAGGCTCTAATGTGTGTGTTCTGTCCTCTGTTACAATGTGGGGCAGAAACAGAGGGATATGGTAAGAAAGGGAGCTGTGTTCTGCTTTACAGAAGGAATAAGAGACCCTCAGGCTTTCTCTTACCTCTGCTGAAGGTAATCTACCTGCCAAAATGCAGTGTGTGCCTGGAGGGTCCATCCCTGGAGGATGTCATCAGCACAGTACCATCACAGAGAAGCATTCATAAACTCATCAGTAGAGAGCTGCCCAGGCAGTGGTTATCACTGATTTCTCTAAGAGGTGGTCTTCCCTCCTCTTCCTCACTGTTGCTTCTTCAGTAGCTCTGAGTCTGTTCAGTGTCTGGTTTTGTGCTGTTCTGAGCTGTGCTGGGTGTGATATTTGATAGCGGAGAGAAAACTGTACTCAAATGCACACAAGACTTGGGAGATTTCACCAGTTCTTGGACACCATGAGGCTGATAATCCACAACCAGTTCTACATATACCTGTCTGATTTACTCTGTCAGACAGCAGTGTAATTCTGGTGAAGGTTTGTTTAGACATAAAGGTAGAAATATTTTCAATCACCTACATGAGAACTGAGAGGTTTTTAGGGTTTTAGGTAGCTAATGTGCATAGACAGAGGCATTTAGTAAAGCGAATAACAAAAATAGTAAATTGCTTTTCATTGTCAAAGATTAGCCTCAGCTCAGAACCTAGTCCTGAAAGGACCTGCAAAATTGAAATTAAAGAGTCGTATTGAAATCACCTCTGCTAAGACAAAATGCAGCATTGAAGAAGATATGAATGCAATCTTAAGATTTTTATTTTTGGTACATTTGCTGTGTTGTGACAAAAGTCTATTTCACATGGAGTGAAAACTTTTGTGGCTGAATTCTGTTCTCTAAAAAGTGGCCCCATTGATACACTGACAAAAGATTATATCTCTGATATTTCCTCCACATGAAGTCTGAAACCACACACTGAACTCTCTCTTCAGCAGCCTTGTACTTACAGTCTGTAGTTTAAGGCAAGATCGACAAAGAATGCCCTCCGTTTCTTATATTCCAGGTCAGCATATCCCTGAATTAGAAAATAATTTGAAAAAAGTTTTACATTAAGAGAGATTTGTGGTCATAAATAAATGTGCTAACAGAGGTACTCAGAAAAACTAGGCCTCAAATAGGTTGTTTTCTCTGAGGTAATGAATCTTGAGCCGCATGAACAGGTTAAGCCCAAGTCTGCAGTTATATCTGTGACATTTTGATGAAAATTTGCGGACTGTGAATAGAAAGGAAAGTAACATGGGTGGGTGAGAAGATTTTGGAGTATATAAACACTTCATTGCAGAATCACACACTTACCATCACACACTTACCATCAAATTTAGATGCAAATCACATTAAAAATGGGATGGAAAGAGGGCTATTGCTTACACTGGGGAAGAGCTGAATCTGAATCACTTCGTTCCTTCGCTAAGCACGAAGGTTGCAATATACGGCTGTGATGGATGTGATGGCACCAAGCCTATCCAACTTGCCAGAGAAGCTACACTGCCCCTGTACGATACCCTCTTTGGGCAAAGAACAGGCTCTCACTGGCTAGAAATCATTAAAATCACCACTGGGTCTGTAGGAAGTACAGGCTGAGCACTCAATTCCCCCTTGCCCATTTATTACTGTGTTACGATAAAGACAGATTCAGTGGCATCTGTTTTAAGGGGATGTTTACCCATCAAATACCAGAGTTTTCTTTCTGCCCCTTCAGTGTTTACTAGAAGTTAAATTTCAAGCAATCTTTGCCAGCTATTGAATATGAATAGAGCTGTGGAATCATGTTCCTTTTAACTTTACATCATTCATAATAGGAATTAAATCTGAAATCTGGAACTGTATACTAATATAACTCATAAAACAGTGTTGTCCAGCATCACTGTGCAAATATTTATTATCCTAAAATATTCAGAATTTACTGGAATCACTTTTCATACTACAAGCCAAATATGTCCCTTAGGTTTATTCACATAATTTTCAGTGCAGCAATAATATCAGTAACACTGCAGTTAATGAGTATTGTGTCTGTGAATCTGAGGAAAGAGCTGGATCCTGAGAGTATGTTTATTTTGTCATGTGTTAGGGCAAATATGTTCGTTCAGATGCCACTGTAACAAGTCCTTTCAAAACACATGAAAACCCATTGGGACAAACTCACATAGATGCTGTGACATATCAGCTTTGTCCCTGCTGTTCCAAGGGCTCTGTACCCATCCTCTGAGCAGCAGGAGCCACTGCAGCCAGTATCAGGGTGCCCCAGAAATTGGTGTCACAGTGACATCAGTTTGATTTTTTGGCCATTAAAGAGAGAGTAAGGAAAGAAATGATGAACCTGTTGGATATAGACAGCCCAATATGGGTATTTGATACTAAATGTATATGCAAAATCTTTGCTGAGCTACCTTTACCTCAACTTATTTGGTACTTTCCTCCAACCTGTCCATTTTTGAGCCTTGTTCAGAAGCACAGTAAATCAGCCCACGTTGTGTTCTCTCCTTCCACAGACAAGTAGTGTTCAGTGCCTGAGGTAACTTGTTTCAAGTTAAGGATTTCTAAATTGCACTACATTCTGCAGTTCAGATTTATCCCCAATCAATATTTTGGTAACTCTGCACCACTGCTGCTTTCTCTCATCTTCTTCAGTGCTCATACCTTCTCTTTGGCAGAGTAGGAGGGGAACTTAGTCCACTTCAAAGAATTATCAGTATGTGTTCATTTATCTAATGAGAAACAGCCTCAGAGCTAGCTCAGGAAAATTACAAATACTTGGACTGTTTCTATCAGAAAGATATGAGGAAGAATGAAAGATGTCCTGGTTAAGCAGGTTATGAAGCTCTCCCAGAGAATTATAGTGTAATAAGTGATTCTCAAAAACAGGGGAGACACTTGTAGACTTGAAAAGGGTTTTTTTTCGTAACACACATAACTGTACATAATTCACAATATAACACTGTGTATGTTAATGATAGGACCTAAGTAGAATTCAGACGTGTAGAGAAGGGAATGACAAAATCTTTCTTGTAGATTCTGTTGACACCCATCTAAATTTTTCCCACATTTTTCAGTGCAAAATATGAGCTTTTTTTCTTTGTCATGCATCACTTCTATGTGACGCTTGACAGAACACAACGCTTCTGGACCTACCTTGTCAATCTGCAAATGGCCTTTTGGAGCCCGTTTTGTGTCTGCATCTAACTCATATCTCATCTGTACTAAAGCTGGAAAACTTTGATGAGAAACAAATGTTTGTTTGTTTGTTAGTTTGTTCCCAGTATTCTGCCTTACTATTATTATCACTAGAGCAGGACTCTACAGCGCATTTTTCCTCTTCCTTCTCTTAGAGTTTGTGCTTATGATGAGGCTAAGAGTACCCATATAAAACTTGTCAGTAAAACCTTTTTTTGGTCCATTCGTGTAGGGACTCATACAGTCTCTAAACTCACCGAAGATCAGCCTTTATCTGGCCCTTTATTTTTTCTGTTCTTCCAGGGGTATTTCTTTACTCCTGAAATTTTCCTTACAAAAATCTCCCTATAGAGAACTTCTCTTTTAAAAACACAATAACAGTAATGTTAAACTTACAGGGTGACCATGGTCCAAACAGGGATCATACTGAGTGATCAGATGGTGACACTTGTCCAGATCTTGGATTTTTCTAGGGAACCAGGGTACTGGAGAGAAAGCAGGGAGAGTTAAATGAGATAGGATCAAATAATTTTTAAAAGATACAGAAAATAAAAGTTGTGTTGAAGATTACAAGTTTTCTTTTCAGCAATATCTAAGAATATATCTAAGAATATTCATATTTACATGTCACCATAGTCATCATACATGCCACTAGTTGACTTTGTTTGCTGACCAAAGCAGCAGACTGGATGAAAAATTATCTGAAATTAAGTTGCAGATATTCTCTCAATTTTAATTAGTAAAAGCAATTTTTAAAGACAAAAATGTTTTTTTTAGAGCAAATGTGATGTTCTGTTTGACAGAGGACAACAAATTTATTTCTATATTTTGATCTTGTCTAAAAAGTAGTCTTACATTTTCATACCTTTGAAAAGGAAACAATATTTTAAAGGGAAAACATGAAATTTCTAAAATTCCTAGAAATAAAATAGGCCAAGAAGTATCCTGACTTCAAGTTTTTTCCTTTTGGCCCTTTTTTTTTTTTAGCAACTTTATTCTAGCTTTAGCTGAATTTCCAAACAGCTTCTTTCCCATGAAGCAGAGACTTTTTCCAGTGATTAAAATAAAAATAAAGTTTGGTCATTTTAGCATATGTGCCAGCATTTAAAACCAATGAACTGAGAAAAGTATTGAAAAAAGACAAGGTTGATATCACTTTCTGAGGTCAGACTGAGACTGTAATCAAACTTCCTCTGTTACAGCTGAGAACGGTCCATTTGGGGTTATCTCAACCTCATACTTCACAAGAGAACAGACATCTCTATACTTAATGGTAAATTTAACTTTTGCCATATTGTATTATACCCAGGCACAAGCAGTTCAGAAAGGTACAAGGCTACAAATACACACTGAGGTTTGGGAAATTACAGCTCTTCCATGCATTATGGCCAATTCTGTGATAAGAAGTCAGAAATATTAGTCTGACAGATGTCTTATGTCTACCCAGAATTTTTTTTTCTGAGCATTTGTCTCTGGCTGTATCAATGGTTCTGCATGCAAGATTATAATCCCGCCATCTATAGTCATATCTCCTCAAAACCAGCACCTGATCATATCTCCTCCATCCCATGTCCCCATACACATCTTGCCTATTCCCTATGGAACTAAACATAAACACACCCTTTTCTAACAGTCTCTTCTTTTGATTGTAGTTCCTAGTCCTGGCATACCTTACACCTCTCAAGTCACAAGGAAATCCTAAAGAAATGCTTCTCCATTTCCGCAACCCTCTTTGGCTCTCTAGTTTCCCTGATAATAGTGATGCCCTTTTGATGCCCCCCCAGTCCCAAAAGTACAGCTTGCCATGGGCTGCCTCTTACCACTAGCCTGAAGCTGAACTTCAAACACCCAAAGGTGCCCAAACAAGACTGTATTAGTTAAAAGCACTCTGGGAATATCTGTCTGGCCTTGTCAAGGATGGGAAAACCCATACTAATTCTGTATTCAGAGAACTCAGCTTGTCAGCTGAACCCTCAGCCTTCTCATCTGCCGGAGACACCTCTGTCATCCTCAGAATTGTCTTAAAGGTCTCTTATCAGCTTGTTGTACTTACCCATCCTCTACCTGCCTGTAAACAGGAAAAATGCCCATCTGCCTCTGGCAAACTCACTTAACACCCTGATGACTGGTAGGGATAGCGGCTCGATAGACCACAGGCGGTAGAGTAACCACTTGTTACTCCAGCACTCTGCCAGATGAAACACTGTTCCTGAAGTGTAACCTGTGAAGCTGCACAACCTCCAAACCTCCAAGCTTTTCATGTGCCTGGGAAAATGCCTGATGCTCTGTTACTACAGATATGGCAGCAGGTCTGTTCTCTTCAAGAAACTCATTCCTTGGTTCTCCCAACCTGACCAGTACCTTCTGGTACCTGGCCAGACTTTCTGTTGGCTCTTTCCCTTTTGCACTCTACAAGCCTCTCACAGCTTGTTGCATTTAGGTCTTTCCAGTGAAGAAACAATGTGCCTCCAGACAGTCCTACTGGACACAGACAGCAGTAACCAGGACACCATAAACAGGCATAAACTGATTTTATCAAAACCAATGCAATACACTGCAAGCAAATGAAACATTCAGACCCTTTGCTATGTCATTGCATCCCCATCAAGTGTATGTGTTTGTCTTGAAGGAATCAGTTCTCTGCACACAATCTCTGCAATCTCTCTGCACAATCCCTCAGTTCTCAGCACACAATCTTCCTGTGATCGAGGAGTTTCTGGTTTCTCCTCAGCTTTTTGATTGGCTGCTCTCTCCTTCTCATCTCCCTTTTCACTGGAACACTTTTCTCACCTCAGTTCCACCGGCTAGGATGAACTGCCTCTAATTCTGCACCAATGGGAATGGAAAATAGTCATGTAGTGACAAAAAATGAATGCACACTCACTTGCTTACCAGATAAATTAAATTACTATTATGAAGAGGAAGCTAAATCTAAACAACTTCATCTGAAAGAATGGCACTAACAGATGCATACATTTCTTACCTTTGTCTTCTCTGCTAGTTTTCACATCCTCTGCTACTCTCTTTAAGGAGGTGATAAGGATACTAACATTGGCACTGTGAACTTCACATTCAATGAAAATGTCAAGATCATCAGCAGACTTCTTGGGCTTTTTCACTCGTCGGGTTTCAAAATGATAGATCTGAGTTTCAAACATCTGCAAGAGCCAAATGTACATGTGATGAAGCTTCTCCAAATCCAGGTAAGTCTACATACATTTCTATGATGTCTTTAAAAGGTGACTAAAAGAGGTATTAACAAGAAGTACATGTTAAGCAAAGAAGTCCAATAATATCTGGTGTAGAAAGAGCTAAAATACAGGTAGGGCTAAAAATTAGACACTGTAGAGTTGGGTAGGGACAGATGGAGATGAAAGATCAGATACTGTTGACTGTAGAATTTTATCTGTGCTGAAATAACAAAGGAGTGGCTGGGTAACTCTTAAAACCCTGGCAGCATGAAAGCAGATCTATTGATGTATAATAACACCATAATCACTAAATAATGGTGAACTATTAAAAATAAGTAACAAATACAATACTTTTCTTTTGAGTTATTCAGTTTCCCAAATGAGAGTGAGCACCTGGCAGGGGTACTTCAGCTGCCCAGACTACATAATGCCTATGTGGTTTACGGCTTTTGTATTCTTTGTATCTCCTGCCAAATATGCAGAGAAAATTCATTGGCTTCTAACATCCCCACAGTGCACCCCTCTGCTGGCCACCACAACTACTAGAAAGAAATAATAGACTGGTATGTCCTCTAAACCACCCTTACATAAAATGTTGATTCTTCTAAAGCACTGTGCCCAGATACTCCCTCCCTCCAGAGCACTCTCCCTCTTCACCCGTGAGACCAGAAAACTTCTCTTAGCAGCTGTAGCAAAAGCAGGACAATGAGAAAAGGGGGAAGGCAGGACAAGGCATAAGTCAGGCAGGAAGCAGAAGGGTGAGAGAGGGAGAGATGCAGAGTGGGAGACATGAAAGCAATAGAAGCAGGAGAGGGCTCAGTGAAGGAAGGGAATGATGAGGTCTGTACCTCAAAGACTTTGGCTGCCTTAGAGAGCTCAATCTTCCTCACATTGCAGAGAGTGAGGGTCAGGATGAGAGTAGCTCTGTCATCCTCCCTGTTGGAGCCCAGGCTGCCTTGGCTGTTCAATGACTCTATGCCACACATCTCCTTCTCCTTGATGGCCTCTTCTTTCAGGCCTGAAATGCCCACCAAGTCAGTCTTCATTGGGACATAGGGGAGTGGATTGTAACTGCCAGATGTTGAGTGGAAACTGCCTGAGGGTGTGAATGCTTCTCCCAGAGAAATAGCCTGGGGAATTGGTGGGACTGGAGATGCAGTGTCTGTGTGGGTGGTGAGATCAGAGCTGCCAGACAGCAGTGAGGCACCCTGGTTGCTACTGTGTTAGGTGTAGGGACATTTATGTTGGCCATGCCAGACACATCAAGGGAAACCGCCTGTGCAGGATGTGCGCAAGAGCACAGGATAACCCTCCTCCCCTGGGTAGCTTCAAAGAGCAGTCCTCCCTCTCTGACTGAAAGTGTCTGCAAGCTGTTCAACCCCGGACATGGGCTTCTTTGTGGAGAGGCAATTAGCCTGAGCTCCATTTACATCTCCCAGTCTGGACTGTCCTGCACAATGTATCTGAGATTGTCCTTCCACCCCACTCTCTCTTACCTCACCGGAACCCTGTCTGCATGGTCCATACCTCCAGTGAAATAATGGGCTCTTACCCCAAACCCTAGTGCAATTGAAGTGTTGTCACCTCTGTGCTGACACAATTGTGGAAGTGACAGAGACCTCAGCCAGTCAGAGTTCATTGCCTACTTATGAGCTTTTCTTGCCCTCAGGATATGAACTTTTTCTACCCTAGCCCTACAAGAGATAAGTGCTGCCTCCAGGCTAGGTAGCCCTGTTGGAACTTGTTTCTGTCATGACTTTACCTCCAGGGAAACTCCAGGGGGATTCAGCTCTGCTCCCGACAGGGCATGTCTTCCCTTCCCTAACACTTGACATCAACAAACCTGTTTCTGGATATGAGTACCCATATCTTCATACTACAAGTTACAGTGTGCCAGACCTCCTGTGAAAATCACCTTGCAGGTCCAGAGATAAGACCACACCTCTGTCCTCCCTTTGAGATGCAGTCATGTTTTATGTGCTCCCTAGTTTATCCTTGTTCAACCTCCCAAGTGCTATAGTGCTCTTGCCTCCTCCCTGGCCGAGGAAGATAAAGAGTATAACAAAATTTTCTTCTCCAGGGACCATGACAACACCATGTTTCCCCTTGACCCAAGACAGAGCACTGGGAAGGTCTTGATTTCCCCATCTATTGCCCAGCTGACAGGCAAACCCAAGGTGAAATTTGCAGCACTGTGCCCAGGAGGCACATCTCATTGTCCTGAGGAACACCCTTGGGCACTCTGGCTTTTCCAGGGTGTGGTGAGTGCCAGCCTGGGAGGGATTTGAAAGGCAGCTGCAAACTGAATGAGTTGGGCAGGGAAGAACTGGGCTTTAAGGGGGAAAAAGTTTCTTCCCACTCCCATGTTCCCCCAGCAGTGGTGGCAAGGCTGGGCACAGGAGAAGAAACTGAGTTGAGTCTGATTATCTGAGTTGAAACTGGGCCTTCCCCGTGAAGAATGGGTACACGCATCCCACATCCAGATCACAGGCATGGCACAAACAGCAAATGGCACAGGGTCTTCTATTCCAGCTCCATGTGGACATGTAGGCAAAAGCCTGTGTTTAAGGCACTGGCCACAAATACTGTTAGAGCAGGGACATCAGGCTCCTGTGGCTGTCTTTATGCTCCAGTGTCAGAGTCCCATGTCTGTACGTTTGCACAGCACTAATCAGGTTCTGTGTATAAATTGAGGTTTCTCTATGGAGGCAGACTGGACTCATCAGCCAGAGTGGCAGCTGGAGCAGCACAGCTTATGACACAGCTTTGTATCCCCCTGCAGAAGTAGGACAGAGAGGCCCGGCTCTCTGGGTGGTGAAAAGTCCTTGCCCAACCAGTGGACATCCCAATAACACCTCAAATCTGTGCCTTGAACAGGTCTAGGAAGACCTCACCAGCGATGTAACTCAGCTTACCAGAGTTCATTTGTGTGCTGGTTTAAAAGTTAACCAGCAAGGGAAAATGAACTCAATTCAAAAGAGAGATTTATAAGTCAGAATAACAATTTATTAAAATAATACAATAAGTACAATTATACAGACAGACAATTGGTTTTAACCCACAAAACCCAAATGTATAACCCAGCACCCTGGGGTATGAACAAAAGTGGTGTACCTTGGCTCACCCCCGAGTCCAAAGCAAAGGGAGAGGGGATAAACCTGCTGGTGGGAGAGCTGCTGCAGTCTGGTCAGAAGTGGTGATTGCAGTCCAGTCGAGGGTGGTGGTCCCAGTCTGGTTGAAGGCGGTGGTCTGCAGTCTAGTTGAAGGCAGTGGTCTGCAATCTTCCTCTGGATCCCACGAGAGGTGGCAAGGTTCTGAAACTCCCAGTTATATACTCTCCAGTTCAGGCGGGAGTGCTCAGTCCCTCCCTCAGAGTAGGGAATTCCATAAAAGGGCATGCGGATGCTCAGTCCCTCCTCCATAAAAGGGTATCAGAGCGGGGAATTCCATATAAGGGTATCAGAGCGGGGAATTCCATAGAAGGGTACAGGAACATCTTCCCACCTTGCAGGCCTCTACTGACAACAGTTTTTGGGAAATGGCATGGAGGCTATAGAATACACAGTTTTGGGTTACACCCATCCAGTGATGAATTGGTCCCAGCCGTTCTAACCAGGACAATTTGTCAGCATTCTTGGGGACCTCTAGGAGTGCAGGAGAAGAGGTCTCAGGCTGGATACTGAAGTTTAGAGGGCTATGCATGGACTGGAGTACAGTGTGTCATCCTTTCCCATGGGGACAGGCAGCTTCTCTTTGCAGAAGGTGAAACTCTCTCACCCCAAGAGTAGGCTCACCCTCACTCATGAACCCCTGAGTGGGTTCTTTAAAAGGCCATGTCTGATCAGCACAAATTACCTGTATGTTTTTCATCCGTTACCATTGCAGATATCTCCACCCTGTATGAGCAGAGTGCCACTCATTTGAGACAGATGCAGCATTAATATTTCTGTTTATTTAGATAAATTTACATGGTTACAGTTGATCATCTCTGACAACTGTCAGCATGGTTTGAAGCAGCAAAGAGACAGATTTAAAGAGAATGCACTACTGCAGAGTGCTCCTGTGCTTAATCCTTCTTTCAATAATTTCTACATTCTTTGGGGAATAAAGGGTCCCTTCTCCAAGCTGCTGTCAGATCTAGGCATCTTAAGACACCCAGAGGAGTTCACCTCCCTGTGTAATCTGTACCAACAAGATCCCCCTTCATCACAATCATTGACATTGGTCGAAGTCACTGTAAAGGAAAAAGGCCTCATGAAAGGGCTTCTTTGGTCACCTGAAACAGCTGGAGATGGGGACATCAAGAAATGTGATCATAGTGGAACAGAATAGAGGAAGTGTTACTTAAAAGATTAGCTTTGGATAGGTTAGTTAGAGTAATATTCAAAGATTTATGGAGTATACAAATATAGAGCAAGCTAGGCTTTGTTGTGCATTTCTAGGTAATTGCACACATTAAGAGAGGGTTTTTTTGTTTACATCATTTTCATGATCTTTCCAGATAAGTGGTAGTCAAACAGTGCAAGAGAGCCTTTTTTTGTGTTGGAGCACACCTCAGATGGGCATTCCCTCCTACCTGGGTATTTAATTCTGACTGACTTGTGTGGTTACTTTACAAGGGGGAATTACACTGGTCAGCTAATGCAAAAGGCATTTTCCTACACAGCTTTAATTTCCTTTAAGCATGGAAATAAGAAGTCACCCATTAAGGAGTACTATTTAAAGCACGTATGCACAAGTTAATTTGTTCTGTGAAAATCTGCTTTCTGTACATTTCCTCTGCTTTTTAAATACCAAACATTTAACTTTTTCTTATCTCTCGGTCTTGCTGAACAGCCATGTTATGCTGCTTTGGCTGGAGCTATTGATCATTTAAACTTGCATTAAGGGACACAGAAGCAGACGTGTCATCAATATTCTTTAACTATTCTACTTGCACATAAAAGAAAATCATGAATCCTGGGTTCTCAATATCACTATAGATCTACTGCTGCTATCACTCATAACAACAGCCAGAAGTAGAGAAGCTTGAAAAGTTGTCTGACGATTAGTTTGAAAGTCTTTACCTGTGGGATGAAATTGTCTCTTTGTGGCATACAATTACCTTATGGGTCCTATTATATTAAAAGAGAAAAATGTGGGCTACTTTCACACTGAAAATACATGTCAAGCAGGATTGAAAAATCTATACAGACATTGTCATGAGAAAAAAAAGGAATAAAAAAGATACAGAGATAAAAATGGTTACTTCAAAGCACCAAAATGATACTATTTTGCATAAGTGTATGTCAATTGAAAAGGGTTCCAGCTGGTATACTTAGACTGATATTATTACGCACCATAAATATAATGAAAACAGCTGTACTTTCTATCTTCCTAAAGGATGATGCTCACATTGAAGTTCTATTGATTTTCAAACTACAAATACAAAACTAGTACAACGGAAGGTATAAGACTCATGGACTTTCAAATCCCTCTCCATCCTTGAATCTTCTAACAGAAATGTGACCCTTGATTTGTGTTAGTGTCATGATGAAGAATTGTTTCAAGCAAAAAATACTGTTCAGTTCTGCTTTGCTCCATTCTGTTCCAACTTACAAGTGCTGATCTCCCTCCTTCAACCAGGGAGCTACAAGGACGCATTACACAATGTAGACCAGTTCAAGAAGTCTTTTAGCTGATTTGAGTGAAATTTATTGGATAAATGCAGAAATGGCTTCCTGAACAGCAAAGATCTTCTCTCTCCATGCTCAGCCATTGGGTTAAGCTGAAATCACCTTTGGTTCCATTTGCTGACTCAGCTGAGATGTACTCCAGGAAAAATAAAACCACTTTCACTAACAAAAGGGAGTTAAAAGCTCAAATGGGAGATTAAGATTCAAAAAGTTATCATGACTTAGGACCTGTCTTGAAAAATGACATTTGAGTTTGAATGCAGTCAGACTAGGAAACATGTAACCCAGGTTTTCCATGGCTTTGGTGGGGACTCTGGTGAAAGAACCACTTCTTCTCCATTTCCAGTGTGCTGATATCAGTGTGCTGGTACCCACCTTCTAGATTGTGAGTCTTACTGAATAAGGCAGTCTCAGAGAAGGACAGACACGGCAAAAGGTAACTTTCACAGTCAGCCTTCCACAGTGAGTAGCTGAGTATGTCTATTAAGAGAGATCTCTCCTTTCCATAAAATTACTGTTCCTGAATCAGCTATGAATTCATGATGTTACACAACATTACAGCCAGCACAGCTCTGAGACTGGACTAGTAATGAAGCCCTGTTAGAACATCTGCATGGTTTCTTCCTTGCACAGAACTGACCTCACATCCAACTGCAAAAAGCCGCAAAGACTTGCCTTTAGGTAACTCCGCTCCGAAGGACCTTTTTTTGTGGATACTGTATTGAGGTACAGATTGTTCTGGATAAGCAGGTTCAGTGGCTTGCATAGGGATTTCACTCTGCAGACCAATGGCACATCACAGCATGCAGTATTCTTGACTTGCACGGATCTTTTGAGATCGGTTCTTGTGTAAATACAGTATATTTATACTAGCTGATAAATCTTTGTTAATGAGGCTGCACCACATTATCTTTTCTGCTAGCATCTGTGCTTTGGATCAATGGCAATACCATATTTTTAGGAAAAAAACCAATTCAGGATAGAGGTGTTTGTGTGTAGAAGTAAAAGTACAGAAGGCCAAGCAGAACATGTATGTGCCCTGAAAGGTATAGAGTTTGAGACTCCATAGGAACCTTGGACAAATGTGAGGAACTGAGGGGAGAGTGATTGTGAGAGAAAGCGAGGAGGATTAGTCTGTTCATGACTGACATCCTGACCCTGGTCCCAGAGTGGTAATGCAATCTCACAGGTGCAGCAGACTATAGATCTGCATGGTGAAGATCTCCTTCGGCTAATCTTTGGAACAAGACATATGGAGGCTTTCCCCAGATTCCCAGAAATAAGGTAATTTTAAGGCATTAGTGAGAAAAAATGGATTAGTGTCTGAAGGCCAAAAAAGTAAAGGGTCACCTGCAGATGCCTATTTCTCTGCTAATCTATAATAATTAAGATATATAACATAAGCATTCATGCATTACACTGGAATATAACAGACTGAGGCTAGATGAAGACTGACATTTGCACATGGCAGCTTCTAGCCAGTAGCCAGTAATTAGCAAGTTACAACAAATCTTCATTTTATCTTCTGGAGAGCATTGCAAAGGATTCCAATCTCACCTGCAACAGAGATAATCAGAGTAGTTAATTCTAGAGCTAGCACATTTCTAACACTCCTGCATATTTTTTACCCCTCTATCCATTCCGTAAAAGAACAAGGTGAGTAAAGTAGTGCTGGATTGGACACATTTATTGCTGGAGTAAGGTCTGCAGAGTCAGCCCTTTGCCTTCATCAGCCATAAAAGGCTGGCTCACAGTATCAGAGGTGCTGGATCTTGGCAGGTTGGCCAATGTGAGGGGGGAAATGTATCAGGAAAAAGGCTAGAATGGTAAAAGGAAATGTGATTAAAGCCCAGCTTCTCCTTCTCTTCTTTACTGAAAACAGCTGGAGCCACACATCAGAATTCATCTCAAGGCCATCTGACCTTTCCTAACACCTCCACTAAAACTGGGTATTTCAGATTAAAGAAGCTACAGTCAAGTGGAAATGCTTGTTAAGTTTGTCTATAATTATTTTTTGCATGAGAAAGGAGATGCGTGCTGCTTTATCTTGGTCAGACTCAGAACATTAAATAAAACCAGACAAAATCTGCTTTGTGGTTCCTATTTCTGACCCAAATTTGGAAGAATTCAAGGTAACAAATCTGTAATTGCTTACTATTGATAGTGTCAGCTAAGTTCTTCAGCTGCTTTGCGTTGTCCAAGACTTCAATCCTCTGGGTGTAGGGATTATACCGAACAGAGAAAGGACGAGGGATCGTTTGAGCAAATTTCCTGAGAAAAAATACGTTAACAAATATAAAGTTGAAAACCTATTTTTTTCACTAACTCGCTCTTTTCTTGGTGTGTGAATTTGTTGATCAGGGGGATAAGAAATCCCATCAGAGAAAATAACTGAAATTCCTGCTGAGTGCTCTGAGACCTTCAGCATTCTGCAACACACTTGAATCTGCATTTGTCCTTACCACCTTTAGTTTTTCCTGAACAGGACTAATTAAGTTATTGGCATGGCAACACTGCTCCTGGTACAGGCCAACTATGTAGCACTGGGATCTGCCAAACTTTAAAACCTCATTTTCCTTCCAGTGATGCAAAATATAGAGATTCTGATCCAAGTCTGCAGTTTCTGGGAAAATAAGGTCAAGTGCCTATGCCATCCTGGCATACCAAGGAGCAAGCAGAGAGCTAACTTCTGGCATGGTTGGTAGAAGTTTCCAGGTAATTTCAAAGATAGGAGATAGTCAATGGAGTGAAGCAGCATTCTTTCCACCCCTTATTTGCAGTGTTCTCTTTTGCAAAATAGTTAATCCATGGCAGAAGCACTAAGGTCTTGGTATCTTGGGAAAATATTAATTTGCATAACCACAGAACTGTGGAAAGAAGGATTCTGAATGGAATGAGACAGTCAGAGCTATTGTTCCAGGCTCCTTTTAGACCCCAGCAGGATACTGGCTTATATATCTGCTTTGGATTACTGAAGTTATTGCTGAAAGAGGAAGGATAGCACGCAGGAGTTGATTATGAAGCCGCACTATACAGACTGTGACTCAGCATGGTAAATCTCAAATGCCCAGAACACTGGAATATGCTGCATGGCCCCACAATGTTTCTTCAGTTTAGACCTAATTATTATCAGATAAGGGCACTGTCTCAAACAGAATTCAGTGCAAGCAGGCCACAAGGCAAGATAGTGAAAAAATCCTATGTTGACTATGATGAATTTAGTGGCATCAGTCTAGTTTTTCTAAGAGGGGAGATCACATTAGAAGATGATCTTCCTAAATTTCAGCTGAAGGTAAGATCCTAATCAGAAGACGAATGCCATAAACTGAAAAGTTTTAGGTCAATCTCAGGATAATTTTTCAGGAATGTTTTCTATTACACATAAACAACATGTCCAGGTGCAAGCCACTGACACAGATGCTCGACCAACACCCAGGCCTCTATTTCAATTTAAACACTTTTTCAATTTGGTCCTTGAAACAAATAAAAGAAGCTCCAGGATATTTTTTACTAAGTAAGGCAGCATCTTCCTCAAGGAACTTCCTACTCAGTTAGAGTAGATAGAGGTAGATAGAAACAGAGAAGATAGAAACTACGTGCAGGATGCTAGTAACATAGATCAGAAGAGAAGGACAGCTTTCTCAGACGTTATCCCAGAGAAAAGGGCAAAAGGAGAAGCTGCAGGCCTATGATGACTAAAGAAGCAGCAGGGGAGGTAGCTAGGAAGACCTTGGAGCTGAAGAGTCTGGGGTAGCAGAATGCGTTTATCTATGAATGGTAGAGAGAAAGATAAGAAACTGCAGGTCTGGGACAAGTCCTTGTGTGGCATCTCCGAATGAAAAATTTGTTGAGTGTGAACCAAGGCTAACCCCCCAGTGGCTTGACTAACATCCAGAAATATGGTGTGTTTTTTAACAGGAATAGAAATACTGTTGTGAGGTGAAATCCAAGCTGAACTCCAAACACAGTCTGAGCCATTCTTGTTTCAAGAACCAGAACTGAACCTGGACCACTATTTCAAAATCTTATTGAACTGGAACTGAATCTGTATTTGAGTCACAGATGACTGAAAGATTTACTATGTAGCCTTGTAGTCTTGTAAACACACTGCTGGTAACAAGCTGGAGGCTTTGTATTAAGCTAACCACACAGGCCTCAGGATTGGGGATATTAGACTTGCTTGAAGTTTTGTTTATCTGTAATAACAATTGTCTAATGACCATGTAGCTATTACCTAATTTGTTTTAGTTTTGCTGAATTCTGAATAATTGTGAGCTGTAATGCCTACTGCTAATAATTTTTATATAGGCAGAAATAACAAATAGTTATACTGTATATAGTGAACTAAGTCTGACCCTAAAGTAATGATGCAGCATAAAAGAGAATCAGCATGGGCTGATAAGAGGCATTAAAGGCTCAAGCATGATGCTGCTGGTCCCTGGGCTATCAACAACTCCCACTTGTCAATTATTCACAGTGAAGCAAACTTAGGAGTGGAGAAAAAGCAGTTTAGAGGAAACCAAGGGGATAAAGACAAAAATATTTAGCATAAATAGTAAATTCAGAAGTAACACAGATTTGCAAGCCAATGTAGGAAAAGCAAGAGATAAAGCATGTTAGAAAACATAAAAATGGTCCTTAGGGTTGAGGAAGAAGAAAAGAAGCACAGATACTGCCCATCTCCTCACAAAAGAGAGGGGAACTCCATTCATTAACATCACAGTCCTACTCTGAAGACCTCAAGGTGCTTGTTACTTGACAATGCTACCCCCACCACAAGATTGAAACTGTTGACTTAAGACACAACACAAAGTTTAAGGGTGAGCATAACCTCAGAGGTAAAGGAGTAGATGATAGGAGATTATTTCTTTTACAAGAACTGTTAACTCTAGTAATGTTAAAAGAACCTGTTTTGCATTAATTAGCCAGCTTTGACCCTAAGTATTAGTATCATTGCAATTGGACTGGTATTTTTTTTCGTTGCATTTTGGTTAGATGAGACTCTTAGTTACAATAAACACAAATTCTTGGCTTCCTGTATAAGGTATGTTCCCATGTTCATTTTTGCCCAAGATTCTGAAGATATCAACTGATTAGCCTCTTTAAGCTTTGCACCATCTTTTTCTAATGCCTCTCGAAACATTATTGTCAACCCAAGATCCATTATGGCAATGGGATGCACTGTATTTGCAATGGACAAGAAATGGGATCTTCTCTGGAATGACTGGCTTACCTTAGCTTTTCTTTTGCATCTTTAAAACTTTCAGCAACATAGTAGATAGGCTGGAACTCAGTAACAGGGTACTTCTGCACAGAAGTCTTCTCCAGGACTAGGGGCTGAATCTCAGGTTCACTTGATAAACAATACTGTGAACAAAAAGATAAGAAATTTATTTCTGTTTAAAAGTGTTTAAATGTGCTGTGAAAGAAATATAGACCCACTGAATGCCATCCCACCTCAGACAGGAAAGAGTTGCTTCTGTGGTATAGGAAAGAAACAGGTATGAGTTCCCTGTGTTTGCATACACCTACACACTTATCAGAACTCTTCAATAAAGTATGACATTTCATGCTATTTCTATGTACAAAATACGAAGCAAAAATAAAGATCTGAAGATATTTAGAAGAGAAATTTTAGTGAATATAAACATATTTGGAATGTTTTCTAGAACACACCTGAAGCTCCCCAAATGAAGACAGCAGCCCTGCACCATATGCCTTCAGTGAATCACCTTCCTTACACAGTCCAAACTCCACTGTAAACCAATAAACCTAGCAAGAAAATTAGACAGAAATTATGATTCCTTGATCAAAACCGATATGTCTAAATGAATACATTTGGAGTTTGAATTTCTATTTAAAATGTTGTCATGTGTCAAATTCAAATGTATAAATGCAACAAATGTCCCCTCAGACTGAAATTCTTCTCCTGGAAGGGGCACAGAGCTAGACTCCATGTGCCTGAGAATCAGTTCAGTTCCCTGACAAACACAGTTGTGTTTTACTGTGTTCATCTCTGTCAGCAGAGGCAATGAAATTAGAGCAATAAAGCTTTACTTTGGCTGGCCAACCCAGTAGAAGTTTCAACCTTAGTTTATAAAAGTTTGTGTCCTGCTTCACACAGAAGACATCTAACTGCAGCAACAAGAGGATGAACAGGTTGTTGGTGCAAGGAAGATGGTGTGTGGTCTAGTCTGACTCCTTGGTCTGTCATTTTGAAAGGATACCTGCCCTGGCTCAAAAGAACTACCTCATCTATCAGAAGCATCAAAGCTGTGCAATGCTTTGCCCAGGTGGGTTTGTACTGGTGACACTAATCTCACAGGAATACCCTTGTTTTTATTTGAAGTTTGCAACTCTGGCTCTCAGTAGTCTCAGAGTAGCATTCAGGTGAGTGACACTGACTGCAGAGGACATTACCTGCCTGGCAGAGTGGAAGGGAAGAGATGCTTGCAGTTAAAACAGCTACTGGAGCTGCCTCCTGAAATTTCCTGTGGGGATGTAGTAACATACCATCTTTTCTTGCCCAATGTGTTTGTGCTGGAGGAAATCTTGTCTGGGCTTCTGTGTTCAATCACAACTGTCACTTTGAATAAGGGGTGCCAAAGCTATTTTCCTTTAATGCAACTGTTTCAGGGTGGGGTTTTCCAATCATGGTCTTCACTCTGTTCTCATTCATCTCTATGGGAGTTCTATCAGTGACTTCAGTGGCAGCAGAATTAAGACAACACAGGGCGCTTTGGAAAACTGAACCCTCATTTATTAAATTACCGTAGCAAGTTTCTCGATGAAATCATCTGGAGCTCCCAGAGATGCCAGTCCAATTTCCTGTAACAATAAACCATTATTCTTCAAGCTGTTTATTGCAAACATTCTTCCTGTCCCATATTATGTAATTGCTCACATTTTAAATGTTACCATTGCTTACTACCACACACAAATGTTTACAGGACATGTTCCTATCATGCAAGATCAATTTTAAACCAGAAATCTCTCCAAAAATGAACAAAGGGTCTTGTCCAAATGTCATTTACAAGGCATGATCCTTTGTGCCTGGTACAAAGCCCATTGAGGTCAAATAACATTTTATTCTTGCTTTGACAGGCTTTTGATCAAATCTAAAATGCACATCTGAGAGGATGATAGGGACAAAAGGAGGTAAATCAATCACACCCACACACCTTATATATTCCTCTCTGTTTTGATGGGCCCTGATTAAAGAACTTTTCCTGGAGCCTTGAATGAGCTATTTTGTCTGAATGACAGGGCATGATTTGAAAGAGCTTATTCATACCTTGGGAAATAATGGAGACTTTTCCAGGAAGCATGTAATAGTCGGATCCAGAAGGCAGACACACAAGACTATATATGACCAGGTTCCTTTCTCTATTTTATATAATGAGGACTGCATAGTGCAAAATCAGAGGGCCTCCCACACACACTCCAAAGACATTGGAGCAACTGTCACCATGTCAAATCCTAGTAAGCCAAGGTATAATAGGACTTGTCTTGAAGGAAACCCCAGTTCTGGAAAAGGGCAGAACCTGTAGGCAATACTGAGAACTTAACTAACTAGATCAAAGCGACTTCTCTCTTCTGAGATGTTACATCAAGTCCATTTTCTCTTCCTTCCTGCCTTCCTTCCACTTTTCTGCCTTCTTGCATTCCTTTCTGTCTTCCTTCCTGCCTACCTTCCTTCCTTTCTGTCTCCCTCCTTCCCTCCCTCCTCCCTCCCTTCCTTCCTCTATGCTCCATCCTTCTTTTCTTTCTTTTTCTTTTTCTTTCTTTCTTTATTTCTTTCACTCTCTCTTTCCCCCTCTCTCTCTCTCTTTCTCTGTCTCTTTCTCTCTCTCTTTCACTTTCTCTGTGCCTTTCTGCCTTTCTATGTTTGTGTATTTTCATGTTTTCTGGAAAGACGCAGGCAAAAATTTACTCCATCAAGGTTTGGCTTCTTTTCCAGAGACGCTGACACTACCAAAAGAAAGCTCCTCTCCAGCCTTCTCCCATGCTTACAGTTGGGACAATTCCTCACTTTACTCAGCCTTCTATGTGGCTTCAACAGAAAACAAAACAAAACAAAGAAAAAATCCCCCCTTTCCCTAATATTTGAAGATCATGGTGGGATAATAATTCATCTGACTCAAGAGCTATTTTGCTCAAAAGTAACTCTCCTTTGCTCAGAGTAACTTTGCTCAGAAGGATCAACATTTGCAAAAAGGTTTTCAGAAGATGGCTTCACAAAGGGGTTGCCTGTAAAAAAACAACTCACACAAGACGATATTTGGAGTTGATGATTTCACCTAAGTCTCGAGCAATAAATAAATAATCTCAGCCACTCTTAAACAGTATGCTTAAAGGTGAATCCACACCACCCTTCACAGCTCTTGGATCATCCTCTGAATTACCTAGTCTCTCGTGTGTTCAATCATACAAATAGTATAACCACTGAGCAACTTACCTGGGAAAACTGAGCAAAATTGGGGTCAGCAAAAAGAGGTACATGTCCTAGCAGCTCGTGACAAATATCACTGCAGGAAAAGATGACATCTGAATTACTGTGATACAGGAAAAGTCCAGCCCTAGAGTCAGCGCATAGGCAAGAGCGTAGTGCATCTGCTCCTGCAAGAAAATATCACTCCCAGGAAAACATTTTGCTCTAAGATTATTCTCATGATGGAAATACTTGCAAACTCCAGGATTTTCAGTGCTTTTATCATCATACATCCCTCAGCAGAAGGATGATACACTATTTGCTTTTCCTTATGGAAGAAAACCATCCATTTAACTGCCCACCCAGCTCAAGAAAGCTCAGAAAGATATCACCCCACCAAAGAGAACATAGATGTTTCAGTCTCAAGGACAAGAAACCTTTTTAGATGGAGCTCAGGCAATTAAGACAACTCACCATAATGTCAACATGTACCTCAAGAGCTCAACTCCAGTCCCTGTTCAGGCCCACAGTCTCCCACTGAGAGGTGAAAGCTACATATGATGAAATAGGTGAAGCTGGCAGGTGGACTGGAAAATGTCTCATCTAGGGACTGTTAGATTTTTCAAATACAGAAAAGTGATTTGGTGAGATGGAAAAGGGAGAGGCATAAGATGCTCCCAAGAAGGCCAGGACTGTGGAAAACATTTCAGCCTGGCTTTGTGCAGGATGAGAACAGGGTGAGCAAAAGCAGGAAGTAAAATCAGAAGAATGAAACTAGAAAAAAGGAAGGGAGAAGTGGTTGTGGGAAGTAAGGAGAAAAGAAACAGTAAGGGAGGTGAGGAAGAATTGCAACAATATGAAGCAGAATGAGAAAACTGTTTTGAAAATGGAAAAGGACAATGGACAGGGACAGAGAGAAACATTCCAACGTAAAACTGAAAAAGTGATGGGTTCAATGGTCTGGGCTTCCCCTATCTTGCTGCCAGAACCTTGCTTGCAACATGTTGAGTCATTCCTGCACTAGATTTCACACCACTATTTGGGTGTTAATAGCTAAGCTAAATGTGTTAGTACACTGTTCTCTTGCGTCCCCGTCACCAGAGAAGCATGCCTTCAGTAGCAAAACCATCTCATTTGCCCCAGAAGAACTTGCAGAAGAGGATGAAAATTGTTAAAACGACTAGAAATGTTCTGGAAAAGTTTTCAGAAGAGAGTAGTCACTTGGCTGCTCTCCATTAGCTCTGTTCCCAGGAGTGCTCCCGATTCCCACATGGTTATTATCAGTTGAACTGACCCTGCTCTTAGTCTGCTGCAACTTTACACACTTTTCATGCCGAAGTACTTACGGCTCTGGTGTGTACATGGGTTTGGACGCATGGCGAATATACTGTGTAGAGTGGAATACTCGAAATGCCAGCCCAGCCAAGAAATCCCGAGAGGACAGTAAGCCTGCAACAGGACGCAGGCGAAATCCAGTGCAGCCTGAAGGGAAAAAAAATGGAATCTTAAAAACAGCTAATGTATTCAATTTATCCATATCCAGACTTCTCACAGTGGAAGAAGTTTGTTAATTGTTTCGAGGTTGGTTTTGTTTTTTTTTTCTCTCCCTATTTTAAACAGAGTTTAATTGTGAAAGAGCAGGGAATTTGTTACTCATGTATACCACCAGCACAGTATCTGAGCATCTATCCAACTGTACCCCTGGAAGCATTAGAGAGGGACCTGGGACACAGGTTAAGTCATACCATAGGGAGCCTATGGTAAAGCAGGGACTGTTTTTACATCTCTGGAAGCATCACCCCCATTGATAGCTGAGGCCTTTAATTTCATCTGGTTCTTTTAGGTCTTCAGACTTACTCTGCAAGAAGTTTGAAACATCTTCAAGCTGAGGAATATTGTCTTCCCGGTAGCCACAGTACTTCTCCAGCAGTGGGAACACATGGTTGTGTTCATAACAAGCATGAGTTGGATAGAGAGTCTTCAGCTCCCTGAATACGGTGCCCCACGTTTTCTTTTCTTCTTCCGTGTAGGTGACACGAGGAATAGGTTGGCCACTAGAAAGAAAATGGTACCCTCTGTAGCAGCAACACAGAAGATGTCATATGCCACCAGCACCACACTCTTTCTCCTTTTATACTTGCCATTTTCAAAGCAGTTTTCTTATTCTGCTTCATATTGCAGGTTTACTTGGGCTGACCAGGAGCTGCTGGTGCAGGGGGGAAGATGCCTTTGGTCTGATATTTAGATGCAAAAGGAGCCTCACTTGTCCCTAGGCACTGGCTGGAAAGGACTCTATTGACCTTGGCTGAGATATTGGCCATTAGACAGCTTCTTGCATTATTGTGTTAAAAATAAATCAGTGCTTATTTGTTTTATCAAGATGTTCTTCTTTTTTGCAGTCCTAGATATGAAGTAGCTGCTTTATTTCTTGCTCTAATGTGCATTATATTAATTGTTTTTGTAACAACAGGGAAACCATCAGCTTAATAAAACTGTTGGAGTGGCAGAGAAATTCTGATCTGTGCTTTATGCTGTAACAGATGCAGACTCCAGCCAATTTGACTTTTTATGATTGTAATGAGCAATTTTGAGTCAAATCCCATCCTCAGGCCTCCATGTGCTTAGCTCATGCTGAAGCTAACAGGAATGATACAATCACAAGCAATGCAGTCTGGCCTCCTGTGAATAGCCAATTCCTCAGCAATAATGTTAGGGCCATAGGTGACTCCAGCAGCTTTGAAAAATCAAAGGGTTTTAAGTAACTTAATAGGGTTAACATCACTGCTGGAATAATGCTGGAGTTTTCCAAGCCCCAGAGACCCATTGTTAAACTCTTGATGACACCCTACAGTCTCCTACTCCCTTGCTTTTTTTCTTGAGCCTCAGGGCAGCTCCTCTGGAGTACCATCATTTTCTGACTCTGTATCAGCCCTCCTTGATCTGTGGAGCTTTAAACATCCTGTTGAATTATGAGGATTTCTGGGGGATTGTTGTTCCTATAGCCCTCCTAAGTAATCCTCAAACACCTTCAAGGGCTATTTCAATTTCAATTAATTTCAATTAAAAAATTTTAGGATCAGTGGGGCTAGAGGCAAAGGAAGGCAGAGGGAAGAGGCAAGCTAAAAGCAAAGAAAAGAGAAGTCGGGGAAATTAGACATTCAACAAAAACAACGTGTAAATCTATCAGGAGAGGAGGCAAAGAGCAAAGGAAAAGTAGAGGCAAGCATTATAAAGAAAGAGGATAAAATAGGTACAAAAGAAGGGATACAGAAAAGAATGGAATTGAAGACGGTAAAAAGAGTACAAGACAAGCAACTGCTGACCCATCTCACCTTTGTAGCCGGGTAGCACCTTCACAAGCTAAGCACATTTGCCTTTTCATATACTTCACATGAAGCCTAAAAACTTTGGTTGTGCCTCTCCTCCTGCCTGCTTCTCTGTATCTCTGCCCCCCTGTGCTGGAGACAACCTCTGACCTCTCCTCCCCACTGCAGACCCTAAAAGGTATCTTGTGGTGTAGCACCCAAGGCAAAGACATCACAGATCCATCTGTGCCTTCCTGAATTAACACACAAAGTCACAAAAACCACATTCATTCTTCCCATGAGTCCCAGAAGCCCAGACATGGGCTTTGACACCCTATTTACTGAAAGACTTAATTGGAAAGTCTGAGAACTTCACATAAAAGGTTCATTTGGGACTTAAGTCCAGGTCTATACAGGCTCTGTTTCCAAAGTAACTGAAGATCTGGATAACAGACTAAATATTAATAAGTTACATCTTGGAACATACTGGTTTAGTTCGAATCTTGGAGGGAGGGGTGGTTAACTTTTTTGCTTTATTTCAGTGTACAATTTGGTGAAAGCCTACAAACTGGAGAACAGAATTTGCTATCTACTGTGCAAGAAAGGTACATCTTTTGTGAGATATCTGTCAGCACACATTAGATCAATTCATATCTGGACACAATGTCTTATTCAAATTTCCTAGCTGGGAACTGAGGTTCTGACTTTTTTTACCTGATATCTTGTACTTTCCATCAATCACTTCAGTTTTGTCTCTCATTTTGTGATTGGATTATTAGCTCTTTTGTTTAGGGGCTATCTTTTCATCCTGTGCAAATTGGAGCCCTAAATGTAAAATATAAGTTATTTTTTTCTTTGCAATCACAATTTTTACCAGTCCCAGCAAGAATCAGGCCTAGTAATACTAATCTATATGTGTGAGTGGCTCTGGGAACAGAATTTTTTCTCCTCCAGATCTGATCACTGAAAGCAATCAACCAGGCCTGTTCTAACTGAATTTATCCTGTCCATTCATTTTTCTTGGGAAATGAGAGTCCAAATTGCTGACTGCAGCTGGATCAGACATGATAAAAGTAGGGTATCAGACACTGGATTAGCATCAGAACCATAAGTTATTCATTATTTTAATAGTGTATGCAGCTCCTGCTTTAATGTTAATGATAGGCACTCCTCTCCCAGCCCCAGTTTAATGGGGAGAATACCAAAAGCATCTTTATTCAATGCTCAGGTCTTTGTAGTAGCAACAGAGTCTGCTGCTCAATTAGACAACAAAGCCAGGGAAGAGGGGTGTTGAGAGGAAAGAAAGGAGGTGATGTTCTCTTCTGAACATGTGCCTGGAACAATTTACTTTTGTTTTGTCATGATTTGGGGATAAATGCATGAACAGTAAGATTTAAACACATGGCAGAGAAAAGCCAACACCAGGAGGATTCTTGTGGAAAAACAGGAATTGCCAGCAGGGTGAGCACCCTAGGAGAGGGCAAGAGATGTGGGTTTGCTTTTTGCCCATGCACTGGGTACTCACTGCCTGTAGTTGTAGGCAATATCTGCAAACTCCTTCCTCCGGGCCCGGTACACGGGATCTTTGAACCCCTGAAGAGAAACAGGGACGGTCAATCCATGTGTAAGTGCAAATGGTGAACAGCCTTCCTCCCACTGAGCACCCTCAGGCATGGCTGGTGTAGTCTGAGAAGTGCAGGAAGTGCAGTGGGAAAGCTGCCTCCGTTCTGCCAGGCTCTGCTCACAAATGGCACCACTCCTTCCCGGTCTGCAGAGCCACCAGAGCAGCCATTCAGTCACAGTCTTACAGCTCCTCTCGCCCCACAGGTGCTTTCATTTTCCCATTTCTGCTTGCTACAAAATAGGGAAACATGCTCCTTTACAGCAACAACAAGGTGCTCCCAGCAAGAGCAATACACAGAATTAACAGCACTCAGATAACCATGCTCTTCTGGTTTCTCTTGAAGCTTGTTGCTGTTCCTGGCACAGCTGGGCTGCTCCAGAGGAGCAGAATCAAAACACACTAGAAACATATTTATCAACTCAATCAGATTTTTAGGCAGATTGTCATCATGAACCACACTTAAAAGTGCTCATTTTCAAACTGCTAGAGGAACAGTAGGCACTTAGCAGGCCAAAAAGCCCTATTTGTACTTCAAATTCAATCATTCGAAGGGAATTAATGACTACAATGAATGTCTAATAGACCTTGTGGTTGGGAGCTTGACCTTTGCAACTAATTACCAATAAAACCAAGGATAAGAAATAAAACCTCTAAATCTTCATCTAGGATAACCATTCTCCTACCCCAGTGTGCCTGTTTTTTAGACTAAAAGTTCCTCAGTGCTAGGATTGCCTTCAGCACTTGGAGTATAGAAACATCCTCCCACACTAGGATGCACTTTCACAGGGCAAATGGGAATAGCTCACTGGGCACCATGGTCGTTCATAAATGTGTCTCTTAGTGGGGAACAGCACAACTGGACTGAGAGGCCATGAAACAACCAAGTACAGGGGACAGCTGAAGCAGAGTGTAAAACTCAGAGTGTGAATCAAAAAGAGGTAGCCAATGGCCAAGATTAACCTTTCATAGAGAGCACTGTTATTAAATACCATATATCACTTTAACTACTAAAAACACATGCTTCTTTAATTTCTCTCCTGCACTCTGTGGACTGTCACACCTATTTACCCCAGCAGCTGGCTTTCTTTTTTAAGGCACAAGTGCTCACCAACGAATTCTAGGAACTGGAGGAAAGATGCTTCGTTCCTTTTAATATATTTTTCTTTTTTCAAATACAGTCTTGGTCTATTCCCACATGACACACAAGGGGGCCATTGGCTCAGTGTACCTCCTTTCATTCTGCCTTTCATATGACCACACTGAACATCATGAATCATTGTACATGGTACATAACACATCTTGAATTAAGCAATAGGTAGTGAATGACTAATCACTCCATCTCAATTAAACTAATAGCAGCAATTTTTGTTGCGCTGCATGTAATTTATTTATAATCACTCTATCTCAATTAAACTAATAGCAGCAATTTCTGGTGCACTGCATGGAAGTCAGTGTGTTTTGACAATGAAAACAAGTTGTTGTTTGCTTGGAGAGGGAATAGAGACAGAAAATATTCTTGTATCTGAAAAAAACTGAAAAACCACAAAACAACTTTTTTTATCCACTAAGTCAATGAACAAAACTTTCTGACACTACCATTTAAACCACAAACTTTTTGAACCAAGAACCTTTTCTTTTGTTGTGTCTCCCTATACAAGTACCACATCAGATTTAACAACAAGACACTAAGCTAAATCATGTGTATGTAATCAAGGATGAAAAACCAGTCTTCCTATCTCTGGGCTATGATATGTTGCTTCTGAAATTTTTCTTGTTAGTGATACACAAAATGAGTCTGAAGTGACCACACCAGACCCATCTGGGAAAACTAGATGTACCCTTCCAGTGGCCCTGTGCTCTGATAATCATTGATGACTTTTAGGGTCTCCTGGTATTTGCTCAATTAAAGCAACCTTCTGTTTGATTTACTTCATAACCAGGGATTGGGTTGATTCTAACCCTAGAAATGTGGTGCCACCCTTGTCCTGTACCATGTGAGACTTAGTCTAACAGATCTGTACTAAAGCAGAGTAAATGTAAATGAGAGAAATATCTATCCCAATAACTAGAAAAAAAGCTTAAAAAAATAAAGCTCTTACAGGATGGTCAGCATCCAGTTCTGCTCCATAGCTTAGGATCTGATTGGCAAACCTGTCCAGCTCCTGGATGCTTCTTGGGAACCATGGCACTGCAAAACAAAAAAGAAATAGAGACTGGTATGCTTCTTTGTAATTGGATTGGGGCCATCTTCTGATCTTTCCATTTATTCACCATAAACTTAAAGAAATATATGCAAGGGGCTAAATTCTTTGGGCAGCAATCCCTTTTCCTTTAGTAGAAAGCAAGAACAAACTGTGCAAGTTGTCTTGAATTTGTGGCTGTTTTGCGCTGTTGGAAGAATATAGAATATCAAGAGTATCTAATCCTTGGTGCAGAGCTGGCTTGTAATGTTTATGATTTTCTGTTTATTACCTCTGGTCTTTTGGTCTGTCAAAATGTAGGAATTTTTCACAACAGCTAGAATTTTTCCCCCTTTCAAAGGAACAACAAGAAATCCCACAACAGGAGTACAGAATTATTTGACTCTCTAAAAATCTCTTTCTAAGACCTGCATGGTGACCTCTCTTGAACAAGGATTCTGAAATAAAATGATAAATGGCACTGTAATACTCCAAATCAGCACTGTATTACTACAATATACAATAATGCATTCACTTGATTAACAATGTTGGTCTGTCTTCTATTGCCTTGTAACTCATACACTATACATGCTGGCACAGTCAGCATGTGAAAAGGGACCACATTGACTACACAGCATGTAATGTCCATGGGACCCTCCACTTAAATAAGAACATAAGGTGAAGGACAAAGAAGAATCATAGGGATTTCCAGATGTGGCATGCTGAGACAGAGAAAAGAGGAAGCTAAATGTTTTCATGGCAATTGCAACACCAAGAGGTTCTTTGCACCTCTTAGGTACATAGAGCAGTCATCCCAAGTCCAACCTCTTTCCCAGAGCCAGGAGTGCATTCACCCAGTGGTCCAGGCAATCTCCTGACACATATCCCCTTGAGAGAAAGAAGTCCATCATGTGTGCAGTGGCTCTACCAGGCTGCAGCCCTCTCTTCCTTCTCCTCCAAGATGATCCAGTTGCATATCAACTGCCCCACCACTGGGCCTGGCCACCCCATCCCTCTGCAACGCTAAGACAGGAGAGCTCAGTGGAGGGAGCACAGTAACTGCGGGCCCTTGCCCAGTCATTGCTTTGGGAAGTGCATCAGTAATATCACTACTAGGTAGCACTGGCGACTGGGCATATCTTGGCAGCTGCCAGCTCTGCTGTGTTCAGCTTGCTTGGGTTTCCCTTCTGTTGCCTCATTCTTACATTTTTGGGCCTCTGATCCGAGCAGCCTGCATCTTTCCCCTTTCCTTCTGTCCAAGTCAGAGTCAGTTGTCAAGCCTGAATTTAATAGACTGTGATGAACTTCTCACAAATACAATTAGTTGTTCTTTGAGCCCAAATACACATCTGTCTCCAGGAAACTCTGCATCATTTAGGTCTATCATTTCTTTACATGTGATATGAAAAATTACTACCTTTTTTTTTTTAAACTTGATTATTTCATGTGTTGTTAATTAGATCCTGCATATAAACATCATTTGTTGTCATTCACCTTTTCCAGGACACCTAGGAATTTATATCTCTCTATTAGATCCTCCATCTACTCTCCATTTTCCTGGCTTTTCCTGTGTATTTTGGGCACAGAAACCATGGGCTATCTCATGCACTCTCATCACTTCCCTCTGCACCATTTCCAGTTCTACTTTTTCTGTGGAAAGGGCACAAGACCTCCATCTGAGGATGTACTCCATGCTCAGGCCATGGAATCATGTCCCACATGCTCCCCACACTGAGTACAAGTCAGCAACACATATTTAAAGCCTAACATGACCCAAAGATCCTCTGATCCAAGATGAGGGGCAGACTCTATCAATAAAATTTTTGCAATTAATTTAGTGACTTTCTTGCACAAATAGGCATTGCTTGTTCAGCCAGCGCTTGGAAAACAGCTCATCCCCTTCTGTGGCTCTTTGCTTAGCTGAGAGCACTGCTACTCAGCCATACCTCCCCAACTTATTTGGTATGTTGTGCCAAGTGAACCTGATCCCCAGCCAGCTGCTGCTGAATCAGTTCCCTGCAGTGACTTACTGATGGGGCTCATCTCAGACCTGACGGATCACCTACGGGATAAGAGGATCTCTCTGTCTCCAGGACTATTCAGCCGTGCTTTCTGCTGGGCCCAACAGTATGGAGGGCACTTGTGGCACTGGGTTTCTACAAGTCACCTGCACAGAGGCGCCGGAGCAGCAACAGCATTTACAGGTCACACTTTGGCTCAGCCCCATGCAGAGTGCCCACTGCCCCTGACCTACTGTCCCAGGGCCAGCCCGGCTCCATGAGCACTCCCACCTGGGAGCCTTCAGATTTGTTTCAGGCAGGCCACGCAAAACAGGCAGCTGGAGGCTGCTGGCCAGGAAGATCCCGGGCTGCCTGAGCTTCCCGGGCTACCTGAGCTTCCCAGGCTACCTGAGCTTCCCAGGCTGCAGAGACCCGTCACGGTGCTCAGCGGTGCTCCAGCTGTGCTTTCCCCTCTCCCGCTCAGCAGAAGTGGGATTTGATCCACTCTCTCCAAGATGCACCCTTCTGCTTTACCCTCAAAACCAGACCTGAACAAGTCACTAGATGGCAGCAGCAGACTCAGGAAGATCTTCCCCACATACGTTTCTTTGCTGCTGGATGTACGGCTAGTTCTCTTGGTTGCTCCAGAAATACTCTCTCGCCTTGTTGTTAGAAACTTTCCTGCACCTCCAACCCCTTGAGTTAAACCAGTCGGACGGGGGAGTAGAAAAAGGTGTGTTTGATCCCTAGTGAGGGGTCACTACTTACACCACGCGTAGGGTGAGCACAGGCAGCCATCCTGATCCTGTTTTTTATGTGGGTTTATCTCCTGGCTCTATCCCTGAGCTTTGTGTGATGGTGGGGAACTCAATCCACTGTGCTTCAGACTCCCCACTATCAGCTTGGGCTGAGGCACACTGGTAAATGTTTTTAGATTAGGCACTGGGAAAAAAGCTACCTGGCACTTCCACAGCAAAGGATTTGTCAGTGTTAGAGTGCATAACCACTCTTCTCAGGGACACACCATGAACTGAAGGGTCCAGGCTGTGTAGACAAATTGGTGGGGGCTGAAGTCTGCGGTGGATTTTGGCAGTGATGTCTGCAGGGTTTCGCTGGCCTCAATCAGAAAGGTCTCAGGGGTAGGATTTGAATCATTGAAACTTCAAGTGATAAAATGGACATAAAATAGTGGTTTACTTTCATTAAATACACTTTTTTCACAAGATTGCCAAAGTACATCATGCGGAGCTTACAATAAACTACAAAAAACTAGTCAGTTTGATGTGGTATCAGTTCCGGGTGTGGAGATGGGTGACTTGTTTTTCACCTACACAAGAGCAACACCTTATTTTCCTGTCATGCAGCTCTGCAGGGCAGAAATCTACTGATCTTGTCTACCCAAACACCAGCAGTAGCTAAAAGAAAGCAGCTCTGAGCTTGCAGAGCTGGCTGAAAGTGGCAGATTGTGAAAGGGAAATCCCAAGGATGTTTAGTGCTATAAGCACCAGCATAACTGATGTTAAGTTGGGTCCTGGAAAGTCCTGAGCCTTCTCAGCTCTTATGGAAATCAAAGATTCTGAGCACAGATCCTGGGCAAACACAGCATCAAGTCCGTACAGCCCTTGCATCAGGGACCAGGATGCAAAAGAGCTACCGGGTCTTCTGCCTAGCTGTGGAGTGCCAGGAGACTGTCCCCAGCCCTCCCAGAAACTATTTAAAAGATCAAATCAAATTACCCCCTAGCTGATTCTATCCCATATTTTGTTTGCAACATCCTCCTCCAGCCCGTTTGCCAGACTCACTGTCTGTCTGCACAGCGATTAATGAATTGCCAGGGCAAGCTGTTGCAACACTGGGTCTCTGTGAAGGTCTGAGGAGCAAACGTGGGTTGATCAGTAATAAATATTGATTTGTCTGTAAGTGAAACAGCAGCATTTATGGGACCATGCTGGACACCCAAGTGGTGACCAAATTACCGTGGGGTCAAATGCTTAGCAGAATGCTAATAAGCCATTTATATGAGAGGCAGCAAAGCAGGGGCAGAGAAGACTTCTGCAGAACTCCTCCATTTGGACCATTGTGAGGAGGGTCAAAGACAGGTCTATGCAATTTATAGCAGTTCAAGGCCCAGGTTTAGCCCATTTTTAAACAGTCTCAAATGCTTTAGCCAGCCTCGGGGTTTTGCAAACAAGGCCCCTACAGAACCTCAGCTCCCAGCTTGTCTTAGAAATGCAATAAATTGTCTGCATTTCCCTAATGCTGCAACAGAATAATATTTAATTATTTTTATTCATGGGTTCCAAGTGGACTGCAGATAGCCAGCTTGTTTCCAAAAAGAGCCATGAAGAGATGCACTGTGTTTGCACAACAAATCTTTCTGTCTGTACAAAGGGCTTTTGGCCCAGGAACTGTCAATCCTTCTCATCTGAAGCTCTAAAGCTACATTTGGATTTAAAGCATTTTGCTGGCCTGCTCTCAGCTAAAATTACACTGTTGATCCAAATCTGGTATTTGTGACTATTTGAATATTTTGCATTTAGTTGAAAAAAAAAACCTAAAAGCAGTTAAAGTGAAAAAAGAAATAGAAAGGAAAAGAAAAAGGAAAAAAACCATTCATTTATCTCTTGCCTAATAAAGCACATACACGTGTTTAACACTGAACTATACAGAAGAGGCAGAATACAGAAATTTCCTCTGAGTATCCACGAAGCAATGCACCAAGAATGGTACTGTGTGCTTCCTACAGGAAACAGCAAAATAGGGTTTTTCTTTCTCAAATCATGAGCATGAGAAAAATGAATACTTAGTAGGGAAAGAATGAGAGCGTCTTTAGGCAGCAGTAGAAGAACCGGTCCCATGGGATCCCAGACTGCCTCCAGAAGAAAATATTCCCAGCCTTTACCTGCCCACTGAGAGGAGTGTGGCAATATCCCCATAAACCATATTTCTGAGATTTTGTTCCCTGGGAGCATACTGTTCTCGTTCTGTGTTTTGGGAATATGATTTCACATAAGCACATCCGTGGACTATGACCAGATTTGCCAGGAGGATACATTTGAAAGGCAAGCTGGCCTAAAAGGCACCACAAGGCCTGTTATTTGTTAATGTCATCACTGATAAAGGACAGCATCTTACCACACTTTCTACAACTTGGGCTGTTCCGATCTCAGTCTGCCCTTGTAGCTGCCTCAGCCCAGAATTTGCCACCCACAGTTCATCCCCTAAGCAGGGCTTGTTTGACCTTTCAAAACATGGTTCTTTGGGGATTTGACTGGACCCTTGCTACTCGTGAGAGGAGTTGAAACTGAAAAAAAAAGGGAAAGGGCAAAAAGAAACATCAGTCTTCCTCTGTCTCCTCAGCAATAAATTGCTCCCACTTTATACTATTTCTGAATTACTGAAACTAACAAACAAACACAAGTTATCCTCTCAGACAGAAGGGGATAAAGTCCCTTTCCGAAGCACTGACAGAATAATCTAGCTCAAAAAACCCTTTGATCAAGTCAGTAATATGCAGTGAAATCCTAATCCTACAGCTGACCACAGGAGTTTTGATTTCTGTGAGGTCAGAATTTCCACATACAAGACTTTCTTGGATGATATTTAGAGCTGTATCTCTATCCAACTCTGGCCTATGCTTATACACAACTTCATTATTTAATAAGGTTTATTATTTACTTCTTCATAATAACTAGAAAAATAAAAGTAATGTTAAGGCCTGCTAGGTCCTGTAGCTTTCTTCTGGAAATTAAAAAGCTCCCAAAAGTGAACCTCTTTGATTTGACATGATCATAAATCACCTAATCAACCTTTTGTCCTTTCATCTCATGAATGGAGAGAATTGACTCCAAAGAGTATTTGACTTCTTTTTCATCTTCAAATGTAATGTCATGGCTAGGACACAAAGGAAATGGTAAAAGGATTACCAGCACTGATCTCAAGAAGGTATTAAAGTCCTTTCATGTTGTTCCTAGGAAGGAAGAGGAAGATCCAGACCTAAAGTATTTAAGGTCTGAAATCCTATTAAAATCACATCTGTTATCTGAAGAGGCGTTAAAGTATGTCTCAGACTAGCTGCTGGGCAGCCATCACCTTACCAGGCAGCCTCAACTCTGGCAAATCTCTGAGAATTAGGAGCATGAACAACTCACAAAATTTTCCTTATTTCCCTCCAAGAGCAGAATTGCAACTGACCTCCCTGAGATTTCTTACAGTGATAGAGAGTTAGTCCTGCTCACACTGAAGTGGGTGGCAGAGTCTCCCTAGTTTCCCAGGAGACCTAGTCAGAAGCATGGCAAAAGATGAAGCATGGCAGTTTACACTGACGGAAAATCTCCAGATGAAAAAGCTTACAGCATAGGGAAAGTAGGCAGAGACAGGGAAATGTAGCCACAAAGATCCAAGAGGATCTCCTTTACTATGGGAAAAATAAGTAATTTCAGTATGTGACACAAATATTCCTTGTCAGTGTTAACCTTGTCAGTGTATCCATACCAGTGTCCTTCTTCTTTGTTCGTGAAAGCTCATGGACTGTTGCTCCAATATCACTTCTCAAGGACTTGATGATCTTATCCAGTGCTGGGACATTCTTGCCTTCCAAGTTAATGAAGAACTCATACTCATCTTTGTTGAGACGGGAAGGTCGGGACTCAATATGGGTCAAGTTTATACCTTTTTCCTATGAGAAAAAGAAATTTTATTGCCACAGAGTTTGGGAGAAGGAATATGACATAAAGGCTAGATAAACACGTGTCAGTCAACAAACCATACTATACAATCCAAATAATTCAAAGGTAGACACTTACCTCTTGGGGACACTGAACTGAGGATTTTCACAACAGAGAGAGAGACAAAAAGGAAGAATGAAAAGTATGTGGGATTCCCCCTCATAAAGGTTAGAAGAAGGTGGAAGCAGGATACAAATTGTAAACAGGCTTTGTATTGCAAGTGGTGACTCCAGTACCTCAAGTACATAATGAGAGCCTGTCTGTGTCGACGAGGACATTTCCCAAGGACCAACACAGGAAGCAGGCATTCCACCGGTAGAGTACCCTCTCATGAGAAATTAAATGCTGTATTTATGAGCATCTTGAAAGAAGACTGGAAGAGCAAGCAGCTGTGCACCCTGTGAGATAAGCTTCTGCCAAACCACTGCACAGTCACCTGCAAAGCCACCTGCACAATTTCCAGGGCTGTGAGCAGCTGTTGGGCAGGGATCCAATGGCAAACATGGATCTGCACCAAAAAAAAGGCAGTCCACGTTTGTGCAAATAAAAACATAGGTGCTTTAAGTCACAGAATCACAGAGTTGCTGAGGTTGGATGGGACCTCTGGAGATCAGCTCGTCCTACAGATTGCTCAGGCAGGTTCTACTAGAGCAGATTGCTCAGGGCTGTGTCCAGTCAAGTTTTGAGACTCCTCAGTATCTCTGGTACTGCTCCAGAATCTAATCACAGAAAATATTTTCTTTAGCTTGGAAATTGGAATTCTGTCTCACCAAATATCTTTGCTGACCATCAGCAGTGTTCTCTAGCTCTGAAGAGTTCATTGGCAAGTATAGTCTTGATGACTGTAGACAACGGGAACCTACCCTCAGACATGCCATCATGCTGCTGTGTGAGCAACAAGTAGCTAAAAATCCTATTTTTCCAGTCACTTAGGCAAAAGTGTGGGACAACCTACCTCAGTTTAGCTGAACTCAAATGTTTTCCTGAGCACTGTAATTTGAATATGAAAATATTGCACCTTTTTTTTTTTTTTGAGAAAAACCTTTTAAACAGGTTTCAGTGGGCACTCACTTTGCCAACCAACCATCCTGTCAGTCTCACACTGAAGCTGAAGACACAGAATGAAAGGGCCAGGCCTGGGCTTCTGTCCCCCAAGAGGAATATACATATCCCTGGAGGAAATCTGGGCCTGAAGATCACAGAATCATAGAATCATTACCACAGAAGAGTCAGAAGAGGTGACACATGGTGCTCAGCAGCCCTGGAGAAGCTTTTGTTTTGCTTCTTTCAAGCTAAAAAAGACCCCAAACTACATGGGGTTAAGTGATGGCCCTGGTGGTGTCAGTGTCAACCCCCTGCTGCAAAGAGGTCAGGATTTCATCTGTGAAGTAACACTGCGAGGATCTACTTGTGACCTACAGGGAAGAAAGAGGGAACCTTTTTTATCTCCATGTGCTTTTTTTTGAGCCTCTCAAATCCTTTAAGGTTATCTTTGCTCCTCTCAGTGCTTACACAGCACAGGAGGGCATCTGGCCACCAGCGGCAAAGGCCTCATTTACTCCACCACAAAAGGCAGTTTATTCCTTGGTAGGAAACATGCATGTCATTCCTCTGTTTCCTGAGCATTGCACGCTACAGATGAACTTAAATTGTTTGGCTAGATACCAATACAATAAGTTGAAAAGGTCAAAAGCGCATTCACCAACCAGTGCCCCAGAGAGATGATGGGGGTGGATCCCTCCTCAAGGGGCCGCCTGGGAGGGAGAATGGCTGCCACTGTCCCTGGCCCCAAGGACAATTTGTTTTAGGCCTCCAAAGCTCCATTTCACAAACAGACTGCACATTGTACCCTCTGCTTGGTGAGGCGCTGGGAGTTTCTAACAGAGAGCAGGCACAGGGGGCTGCTGGCCCCTCCGCCATGGCCGTGCTGTGGGGAGCAGTGCGTCGGCATGGTCTGGCACCTGGAGCTTGGGGTGTTTAGCTGCTCTGCACAGACACTCAGAAAGGTGGAGAGTGGTTGCGAAACCTCCGCCTGCCAAAGGCTCGTCGCAGGCACACTGAGGTGTTGCTTTACTTTCACTTTGCACTGATGTGTAGGGGTGTTATATTCTGTCTCTGTGTAGATTCACAGGGAAATGGGGTCCCAAGCTCTGACTGGGCTTTCTACATCTTGCAGAGCTGCAATAGCATGGACCCCTCTTCAGTGACTTATTCCCTGCTTCCCTCCTCCACCCACAATTGTTCATCCCTGCCTCAACATCCCTCCCCCAGAGACAGCAGAGCTGTTTGAGAGATCATAGAATCACAGACCCATAGAATAGTTTGGGTTGGAAGGGACACTTAAAGGCCATCTAGTCCAACCCCTCTGCAATGAGCAAGGACATGTTCAGCTACATCAGGTTGCTCAGAACCCCATTTAAGCTGGCCTTGAATGTTTCCAGGGATGAGGCATCCACCACCTCTCTGGGTAAACCATGCTGGTATCTCACCATCCTCATGGTGAGTGTCTTAATTATCTTAATTATCTACCCTCTTTTAGTTTAAAACTTTATTCCATATCCCATCTCAAAAGGCCTTGCTAAACAGTCTGCTCCCATCTTTCTTATAGGCCCCCTTTAAGTACTGAAAGGCCACAACAAGCTCACCCCAGCACCTTCTCTTCTCCAGACTGAAGATACCTGTGTCCCTTTTTTTTTTTTTTACCTGATGACTTTTCCTCTGTACCAGTTCTCCAGCCTGGCTCAGTGAGCAGTTGCACAGGCAGCAATGACCACAAAATTAAGGGAATGATGCAGAGATTGGGAATGAAGAGATAAGCTGCAGGGCGGGCACAAGGTATGCTTGTGGCAGCAGAACCACTAATGTCTCTCAAATTATGACCACAACCTAAGACAGTGGGAAAAAGGGGGAAAAAGGAAGACAGGTAGGAAGTAGCTCATGGAGAGAGTGACCTCCTTTCTTACACCTGAGATAAGCAGGACATCTTCATGCAGAGTGTCAAGCTGCTTAGCTATTTATTTGAGGGATATCTGCCACTCAGCAATGTGCAGAGCCAACCTGTTACCTCTTTTTGCCAAGGCTTCAGGACTTCACAACAGAAGAAGCTGAAGGGAGAACCCTTCTGGTGACTGTTTTCAGAGCAAGAATTTGGCAGCGTACGTCTAACTCCCTGAACTGGCACTCCTAGAGAAATGTGTTCTCATATGCTGTGCCTTGCTACTAAGCCCTTGATTTCAAAATATTTACAGTGGCTCTGTTACTAGAGTTGTTTTACAAATCTCAGTTTCATTCTAGTCCAACTACTCCATCTAGTGTTTAATCTTCATAATTTCACATTGTTCAGAACTTTTTTATATCCTTGATATTGGCAAATCTTGGAATTGCATCAGGTTTCTCACAGTAGTTGATGCTTTATTTAAAGCTCCATCTTCTGGAGATAAATGGCTACCTGAGAAAGTCAGCTAATAAAAGTTCTTCCAGTTTTCTGAGCTATTTTTTCCTGCTGGAACTTAATTCCTAACCTAACTGGTTTTGGAAGATCTGGGATGTCATATGTTTGAAGCTGGATTCACATCTGAACTAGTAACACTGGTGTCTTCTGCCTTTCCTATTTTAGAGTTGGTAGGAATCAGATGAGCCCATGGATTGAGATTATAGAAAGAAGTCTCAAGACACATTCTGAGAGCTCAAAAATCAAGTTAGAACTTAGTTCTAAGCAAGTTAGAAGGGGACAGTGATACAGAAATCAAATTACAACATGGACAATGGTGGATGCAGGGGGGAGATTGCCCATGCCTGCCTTGCCTCACAGTGCTGGATCTCAGCCTTGGTTCCCTCTCAGAAGCTGTGAAGCAGCTCCAACCCCTTCCCCAGGTTATTACAAAAATGCCATCCTAACTGGACATCTTCTACACTGCAGCTGCCCCACACCAGCAGGATAAAACCAGCCTTGTGTTACACTACATAGGCAGTCTTGCAGAGGTCACTTCATGAGAGAATTTAGTCACACCCTCAGAGAGTTTAATGACCTGGTAATTGGGAAAGGAAAGTTGTGTTTTCATAGCTACTTGGGGAAGCTTTCAGTAGGGATGAATCCTCTTTGGGAAAGTTATGGGCTACTAATTTCCATGTCATTCATATGTCCTTCTGTTTATGCATTACTAAATGCTCCTGTACATGGTTCTAAAACTAAATACAGCTGTTAAATCCAGCTGTAGCTTGTTTTCGTGACTGTTGTCATTAATTAAGTTTGGTTTCATCAGTAGACCTCATGTTGTTACCAGATGAAGAACTGTTGACAACACTGTGGTGCCGCTAATCAACATTCAGTGAGAATTTGGGTGAAATTTCCCAAAACAAGGACTTGCTGGTACTTTCTGGTACCAAAAAAAAGATGACATTCTTTTAACCCTTGCCATGGGGTAGTTCAGGGTTTTCTGGAGGAGGACACTTTCAGAAGCACAAGTAGAAGCTCAGTGCCTAATTTTCACAGGAGATCAGGGAACTTAGGAAGTTATAGTGATGCCTTCAGCCGTGGATTCCCAAAGTGAAGGCAAAGGCAACCATCTGGTTCAGCTTTACTGCCCAAAGGGCTGCTTCTCAGATGAAGACAGCACTTCTCCGTATTCTTCACATCTGCTAGGGTCTTCCTTCCAAGCTTGTGGAGGCAGTGATCCAGAGTAGGTCCCTGCCAGCAAACAGCTCCAGAAGGCAGCTGGCCCTGGAGCAGCCCCTGGTGTCCATCACTTAGCACTTCTGTTCCAACCCTGAAGTTTGGCATGAGGCTTTCAGCACAATCTAGCTACAAAACACATGGAGCAAGACAAACCAAAAACATGTGGCACTGCACATGCACCTACCAAGAGGGCACTCCTCTCTTTAAACTCATGTTGGTTTGCTAGATCAAGAAGTCCTGCTCTCCTGCCCCTAGGAAGAGGAGAGATAAGACTGA